ATCGTTGATTAGGGAACGTCAAGTCGAAGCCTGGCGTGGTCACTATCTTCTGCCATTTTGATGCCCAGTCTCGCGTTGGCATGTTCCCTTGAGAGCATGTGTAGACCTCGTTCATGGCCATCTTCACGACATTGCGGACCATGAATCTGGTTAACCATAGCTGCTCGAACTCCTTCCACGTAATGTGCGTGTGGAGTTCGGCGATAGTGCACTTGTGTGTAGCCGCTAGGTGGTTCATCCATCTCTGCGCTCCTCCAATCAGCTGCAGATATAGTGCCTTCAACATGTCGTCTGCCGGGAACATGCGGCATGATGCTTCCGTGAGGAAGCGTTGCCACCATGGCAAGGCGTCCGACTTATTGTAATCGTCGAACTTGCTGATGTCGAAGTGCGGCATCTTGAACGTCTTTGTAGCGGCTTCCGGTCTCGTCTGTAGCTTGGTGATGTCCGTCTTGATGGCGGCCACCGTGCTGCTGATCGAGTCTGGTCCGTTGAAAGTACTTATGTTGCCGATGATGGTGACGACGTGATCGATGCGCTCGTTGAATTGCTTCGTCATGTCTGTCGTGCAGCCTGGCGCTGCTGAGGCGTTAGCCTCTATGCTGTTGACGCGTGTGATAGTGGAATTCAACAGATGATGTTGTTGCTGCTGCAGCGTTGCCTCTGTGCGGATAGCAGTTGTTAACGCAGTCATATCGTTCTTGTATGTTTGTCGCTGCGTCGCGTCCGTGCGCAGATGTGAATGCAGCAGTGTATTATTCCACATAATACCTCTCATCATGCCCARCRGCAAGTTAGCCAGGTTASTTCTCTCTGCCTCCGCCGGTGTCGGGTCTGCCYGCRTTTCCGTAGGCACAAAGATCATGCCTTGGAGTATCGTCGTCCACTGATGCTCACAAGCAATCAAGGACTCCGTGCTGCTGGCATTCCGTCTGTCTCGTTTCTCTGCGTCAGTCTCAGTCGTTCGCTGAGCTTCGGCTGCCGCTTCATTGGCTAGCCTCTGACRTTCTGCCTCTGCTGTCTCCTTCCGGGCCTCGACGGCAGCTACGGCTTCCGTAAATGCCAGTAGCCGCCCACGATAATCAGCCGCTGGCTTATTGGCTCCTCGGACTGGGTATGCGGGATGATCTCCGGTGGCGTCTTGTACCGTCAATGCCGTACTTGATGCTGCTGGAGTCGTCCGCCTGCCGAGTTTCTTCGGTCTTGGAGGTACTGCAGGGTGGGCACGAACTGCGATTCTGGCACTGCGTCGTGGCAGTGCCCCGGTGTCCTGTTCCGTCGGCATCAGTCTGAACCGATGCGGTACTTGAGAAGTCCCGGTAATCACAGAACACGGGGGGTAGGGAGAGTGGGAACAGGGGTAGAACAATCAAGCAATACACCTACAATCCCCTGTCCCACTTGTTGGACTATAGACCCCTAATCAAAACCCGAAAATAAATTCCCGGAACCAATTCAGAAAATTTGTAATAAAATAATTAACTATTTAATCAATAAATTTAATTAATGAAAAAATACGAGATAATTAATCAATGAAATCATAAAACGAATTTGAATGGTAATATGACTAGGTCTCTTTCGAGATTACTATGAGTCCGGGAGTTCACCGTTACTGAGTGAACTACCCGGAAGTTGCAGTTTGAGGAACAGATACGGCTTAGTGTGCTAAAAAAAATTTCGGAAAATTTCAGAAGAAAAAACGCTTGAATTTTTAAAAATGCGAATTTTTGGGAATATCCACCGTCAAAATCCGATTTTTAAAAGCCTAAACCTATTTTTGGAATTTCTCAAACAAGGAGAACGAAAAAAATTTTCGCAAAAATTTTGGTCCCAGCCCTAATTTCCGCGTTTCGGCGAAATTTCTGGATTTACGGTCCCAAAACGTTCGAGTTTCCCCAAGTTGATCTAAAACCAAAAGATTTTCATAACCCTAATTCCCATACTGAAAGACAACGGAAATCTCAAAAGAAAACGAAATATAGGATTTACAACAGAATGCCGAAAAACGGAATGCTGAATGAAAATCAGAAAACCCGAATTTAAAACATGATACTGATTCAACCCTAATTACGAATTATTTAACTAGAAATCCGAATCAAATAGAATGTTGGAATAGTATCAATCTCTCGGATCTAATTAAACAGCATACCGTGTACAACAGAAATCCGAATAAAAGTCCGAATACTGAATTGAAACGTAAATGCTGAAATAGCCAGAATATCGAAAAAAAGAAAATTTGCAACTTTGAACCTCGATAATACTTCAGCGCCGATTTAGAAGATCAAACATGATAACCTAATTCTAAACGGACTTACCTGGTGAGCAGATCCGTTTTGGTCTGCTCCGATACCAAAACTGTTGCATACTTCAATGAGTATGGGTAGAACCAAAGATCAACCAATATAGGATGAGCATTTATGCAGCGGAAGTCTGATAAACGAACTGACTCACATAGACTGACCTACATGGTATCACTCCACACACATACAATCATGAGATGGTGGGGTCTGGGTCATTCATAGACGATACCCAGATCCCGTACACACATACACAGATGAAAGGTGGGAGGAGAGACGAAGGATGTAGGAGGTAGATCACACTGATAGGTCACAAAGATAGAGTCTGGTAGGTCTCCGAAATGGTAGTCCAAAATGTCATATAACAAGATCAAAATGTCGAGGACCAAAGGTCACCAATGTCGGAGATAACAGAGTCCAGATGTAACCGGTGTCCAACTGTGATGCAGCCGAGTATCAACCTCAACAA